GAAGGAAGGAAGGGGCCTCCTTCGTCCTTGTAAATTCAGACACGTGAACGAGTATTCGATGCAGGACCCACTTTTGGCAAGTTAGCACGAAGAGCGCACTACGACGACGTGTTAACTTGCACAATCGATGCATTCGTCCTTGTCTACGTCCTCGTCTACGTCCTCGACATTTGTGAAACACTTTGAAAATGGCACGATATATTTTCTATTAACTAATTATTATTGAATTATTATTGAATTATTATTGAATTATTTTGTCATCGGTGTCTCGTCTTAGCTTATGGTCTTCTTCGATTTTGTTGACATTTGTTGAAATATTTTATGTTGATACAAGGAAAACGTCTAATGTAGGACACCGGATATGTCAGTATTTTAAAATAAATATTAAAATATGTCTTTTGGTCTCTACAGAGATCGATAATCAACAACCAGGTCTACCCTTCACTCATACTTAGAAAAAGGAAGGGACACGACTATCGCTTTACTATCCTCTTATATTAGTTTATCAAATTTCTCAGAAAAATATAAACGATACGGTAGAAAGACATTTTTTTTTTTTTGAATATTTTTTAACTAGTTCAATCGGTTTTTTTTTTTTTAATGTGGAATAAAAATTTAAAAAATTCCAGAAAAATGTAAATGTTGAGATATGCTGGTTAGTAGTTACATTTGACGATGATCATCAATCATTAGGTGTTTATATTAAGTAACGGGTTAGAATAGGTTTTTTTTTTTTTTCTAGAGGAATAGTTGATATATTCGTTAATAGGATCTCTGTTCTTTTTTCCAAAACTTGCAAACATAAAAATGATAATCAAAATAATTGACTGAAATTCGTGTCAGTTTTAGTAATACTGGTTACACAGTTACTGAAATAAATAAATAAAATTAGTTAATAAGGTATATACAGTAAAATTTAAAGTATACTTTTGTGATGTATTTTCAAACATTTCAAAAATTATTATTCATTATTATTAACTGGCATTAGGAAGTGAAAAGTTCATTGCCGCAAATACCAAATCCCGGGTCCATTGTTCTTCGTATCCTATTTCTTTCAGGATGTATTTTTATAAGAAGAGAAGAAAAATAAACATCAATTAAAAAAAAAAAGAATAAAGCATTTAGATGTTTATATTAATTAATTAAAATCGTATTGAAATGATTAATGGCCGCGTAGTTTTTGATTGTGTAAACCTACCATACCTGTTACGCGTCTTATTACACGTGGCATTTTTATGGTATTACATAATAATAAATTCAAATTCGGTTAGTTGCTTATTTGCTTGTGTGCCAAAACACATTCCTCTTTTCTATCTCTCTCTTTATTTTGTCTTTTTGTCTTTTTGTTTTTCTCTTTCTCCAAGATCAGAGGAAAAAGGTCGAACACGTGGAATTTCATCCACAGGATAGGAATGTACAGTGTGACTAATTTATGTTACTATAATCATCACATCAAAACTTGATTATATTATAGTATATTGGCATCATTTAAAAATTCATTTCGGTATCATTTTTTTTTTTTTTTAAACATTAAATTATAATAGTTAATTTGATTATACAAAAATATCGAAACAGAAATAGAATGAATTAATTTGGTTAAAAATATCATCATAGGTATAAAACAAGTAATGCTAATAGTCAAATAAATTCATCAAATCAATTTCTTTAATATTTTGACTTAGTGTTAAGTCCACTGTCATAATTAAAAATAAATGAAGAAATTGATAAATAAGAATTATCTTTGATAAATGTACCAATAATTATGACAGCGGACTAGCATAAGTGAAAAAAGAAACAAAAAATGGAAAACATTTATTTTATGATTTATTTCATATTAAAATTATTTGTCTTATCAAATAAGTTATATAATTAATTTGTTATAATTGAGTTATATATATAAATATAAATATAAATATATATACATATATACAGGGTGTCTACGACTTCTTCTCCATGTTATATGAAATACAAAATATGTTATTTATATTATATATCAAAATATCGCAAAAATAATTAAGAAGTAATTAAGATCAGTTTTATCGTACATTTGTAAAAAAAAAAAAAAAAAAAATTGATTAAAAGAAAAAGGAAGAAATCTTAATTGCAAGATTGGACAGTTTGCTTTCCAAATGATTTGACCGGGTGAAGAATTCGCATTTATATAAGTCGAGGCTACTTTTGTAATAGAACGTGTCTTATCGATTTCATCGTTTAGCTCGTGTCCTTTGTATATGCACGAGTTGAGTTCGATGAACCAATGAGATCTCTCTCTCTCTCTCTCTCTCTCTCTCTTTTTTCTTCGTCTCTTTCTAAATATTCTGTACTTTTTATTTTGTATTATTTATTATTTTTGCGACAATGCAACAACCTCGTTTAGAAGCGCACGTGGTGCATAGAAACTAGCATTTCTACAAAGCACGTTTGTTCAATTTTATTATACTGAATTGTGCACTCGCATGCTAAAAGATTACAATAAGAGCTCTGTGTGTGTGTGTGTGTGTGTTTGTGTGGCCTTTTGTCGAAGAATATTTTTACAAAAAGATAGAGAAAGAAAAAATAAGATCCATTATTCAATTTTATTCAATTTTATTATCAAATATTAAATATTAAATATCAAATGTTATGATTCTTCACATTGATTTATTCGCATAGTTGTAGTGACGATGATGACAGAGTACAATTTCTAATAATTCTACTTCGTCGGTCACCAATGCTGCATTCCCATGGTATTCAATGTGTTAAACACACCGCCATATATTTTTATAATATAATATATTTTTAAATAAATAAAAAAAAAAAACAAGATTTCTCTAAGCAAGCAAATATTTACAAATATATATATACAGACACAGAAACATATTGATTTATCTCATCGACGAAAAGTAAACTGAATTATCAAATATTTCTTCTCTTCACGTTTAAAATAATTTCGAAAGATGTTGGTATTTTGGATTGACATTAACTACATGCTTGGTATGCGGTCACCAACAGTCAAATATTCATTTAATTCTAGTTTATTCTTAGTTATATTAAGTAATAAAAACGTGCGTCACACTCGCCCACATATAAATATAGATTGTTCATCCAAATTTTTCACATTTTTTTTCTCCAAATAGTAGTTCACATTATTTACAAGAAGGAAGAGAAAAGATCAATTCAAAAGATTATTTTAATAATAGCATCAAAAATGGCACGTGTCGATGATTGCTAATAGTATTACGTAATGGCGCGACTCCCCGCGATACCAATTGCACAGATCATCTAATTAAATAAAAAAAAAAAAAAAAAAAAAAAAGAAAAGAAGCAGAAAAAATGTTAAACAATCGATTTGTACCAGTCTGTTGATAACGCAGTGTAAAGAACCTTCTGCATTGTAAAAGCGTGTTGGATGATAATGATCGAGTACCGGTCAACCATCGTCCTTGGGTACCAAATACAGATCATTCCTTTTCTCTTTAACCACACGAGTGCATTTGTTGTCTTTGTCTGTTTTTCATGCTATTCGCTCAACCAGTTTCATATCGCATAAGTCGTTCAAGATTTATGGACAGCTCTCTCTCTCTTTCTCTCCCACCCTCTGACATTTAGTTTCTCTCTTGGTTATTTAATTATTCCATCTCTGTTCTGTTTTTTGTTTTTTGTTTTTTTTTTTTTTTTTGATTCCTTTCTATACGAACGTCCTCCATTTCTTTTCATTTATTTTTTCTTAATTAATTCCATGTGTGGCACGTGGCAATATGACAACTCAAACAACAACTCGTTCACACGAGTTGGATTATCAAAATAAACATCATCATCATCATCATCATCATCATCATCATCATCATCATCAGCAACAGCAGCATCATCGACATCGTCAGAATTATTCTTCAGCGTCATGGGATGTAGGGGATTAAGATATGTCTGAATGTAAAGCAAATTCGGTACCAGGGATTCACCCATATCTTCATAGTTTACACTTATTTCGTTTTCTTTTTCTAACATCGTAAAATTGACTTCATTAAGAAATATTTTCATTATAATTTTAATCGTATTTCAATCTTATTTCTCTTGTGTATTTTAAACATGGCGAAATATTAATGGTGATTTGTAAGTAATTGTAGGTTCATTTTTTTTGAAACTCTCTCTCTCCCAGCATTTTGATCTGCTATTTTCCAAATTCTAGAATGTCCGATCCTTGGAACAAAATTTATGATCAATTAAATGTGCAAATTTGTTCACACATCCGATGCATATTTTACTTTAAATTGTACAATTTAAAATTGTATTCATAAATAATAAAGAGAGTTTTTTTTTTTCTTTTGTTAATATATTACGAAACAACGAACTTTCATAATTTAAATAACGGATTTCAATTTGAAAAGATTCATCGATGAATTTCAATTTTTATTGGATTTTAAAATTAACTGCGAATGCTTTGGCAAAGTATATATATATAAAAAAAAAAAAAAAAGGTATCTAGGAATGATATTATATTGAAATATTTAATATCTATTTTGGTACTGGCTATTATTTGTTGTCTATTTTTGTTTAGTTTTTTTTTTTTCAGTAAATTCTTTCTCTCCCTGTTCGAACACACAGATATATTGCGTACGCTTCCTTGTGCATACGTATTTACACGTGCATAGTCTCTCTCTCTCTCTCTCTACGTTGCTGAGTATGAGAAAAAGAGAGAGAGAGAGAGAGAGTGTGAGAGTGAGAGTGAGAGGGTGATACGCGTTGAACGTTGGCGCCGTTATGAGTGTATGTTTCTATTGGTGGATCAGCTAGCTGGTGACCATTCGGTGACTTACCGAGTAGCTAACTCGGAGCATTCGGTAGTATATAAGGGAGGTTCTTACGAACAACAGGAGGAAGTCACATCTTGGCGAGCGTCTTATACAGTGTGGTCTTCTGACAGTTCTACTTGTATTTGTTTATTCATTTTTTTTTCTTCTTGTTTTATTTTAACTCCAACTCTCTTTACTCTTCTCTTTCTCTATCACTCGAATTATCAATATTATTAATCATTTTGTCATTTAAATATATGATAGATATTGAATCGTTCGAAAGTTTAATTAAAATAAATGGAGTTTGGTTTCTTTCGAAAATGAAACTCGAGTACGTTAGAAAGTGAATAAGTTGTGAATTTGGACAGATATTGAGAGAGAAAAAAAATCTATTGGAAGTATTTGAAAAGTGTTTTGCAAAGTAGTCAGAAGATTTCAAGAAGACACCATGCTTTCTGCAATACAAATTCCTGATCTTCCTTGGACAGCTTGGATCTTGTCTTGGTCTTTGATCATTTTCATAGCGTCATTCATAATAAATCACATAATATTTAGCATCGCTGTTTGGAGAATACCGCATCCGAAAGCCTTGCCATTAATTGGAAATGCTTATCAATTGAACTGCAATTCGGAAGGTAAGTTTCATTGATTTTTTTTTTTTTTTTTTTTTTTTTTTACTATAAATCAAGTGTCTATGATTGAGCCGAAAAGTATTTGCTTATTTTTTTCCCAAAAAATTCATCTCTTCGAATCTCCATATGCAATTCCTTTTAAGAACAAACGAAATTCTCTTACTTGTTGTACACCCTAAATGTTATTTCAATCTATAAAAGTAGGTTTTAGGTTTTAGGATTGTGGTAACAATTCTTATATCGAGATTCTTCGATTATTTCAGTGTAAACCCCCACGACTTATCTGTAACATTACTTATTACGTTATAATGAAAAACTTGGCCAACAGTGGAAGAAAAAAAAAACTAGATAATTTGAATAATTCTTTAGCTAACCATCCGATTCTCTTATCTTAATAATAAATTAAGCGAATCATTCCTAGACTCTAATCTCGTGACCTTTATAACACTTTGAAATTATATCCTAATTAACAATATAATCATTAAATCGTATATTTATTAGTAATTATTATTTAATTTAGCTTCACAAATAGATATCTCTTATTTATCTTATTATTATTTATAAGAATTCATTATAAAAGTGATGATTAAATTAATACGATGAAAGTTTCATCAAATTTCAACCCTCTCATAGGTATGTATCCTCATGAGATCTAGTTTTATGTTCATTGTTAAATAGAAATCTTAGCACGTTGTTCATTGAAAAATAATCGACAATATATATATATATATATATATATACTCGTCGTAAGGAAATAAGAAGAAGAAAACGGAGTTAAAAAAGAAAGAAGAAAAACAAGAAGGAAAAAAAACGGGTCGAGGTCGTTCGTAGTCTGAATGACTATGCTACTCGTATTGCCCACGTAATTGCATACAATTATATATCCACCGACTCAAACAGTAAACGAAAGGAAGAAAGGAAGAAAGAGAGAGAGAGAGAGAGAGAGAGAGAGAGAAAAAGGGTCGCATAAGAATAAGAAGAAAAAAGAATATGAATAAGAAAGGGGAAAGGCGTGTCACGCGAATCTTTTCAGACAATGAACAAATGTCGGATCAATTTTAGTAGCAGACACGAGCTAGACGTTTTAATCTATTTCCTATTCTACCCCACTCCACCTAGAACAAACATAGACGCATACAGTGTACTCTTACACATAGACAAAATTTGATCCAATCTATTAGACATACAACTATAAGTGTATTGTATGATTCATGTATTATTGATAACGGTTCACCTAGTTAAGTTCAATTGTGTATTTGGTTTTTTGTTTTTTTTTTGTACAAATGACTATTTCTATCATTTTACCATAATCGAAAGTAAAATCTTCTAAAGTAATATCACAATGACAATAAATTGAAATTATAAAATATTATTGATTTTATTATCTTATTAAAAGAGAATTTCTTTCTCAATATTGGGGAACGTTGGATATTATTATCAATGACCCGTTAAATGATAGCTATTAATATTTCAAATAAGAAAAGTAATTAATTAGAACAGAATTTCTCTATGTTAAACTTTATCATATTAGAACTATTCATGATGTCATAGTATTAAAGATTGGATCAATATTTTCAATGAAAATAACAAGAAAATTTGTGATGATATATATATCGGGGATTTTTAATGAAGTAAAATTATCGATTGAACTTACATTTCCTTATGTTGTAAACGAAAATAAGTTCAAATCAGTAGACGCAATTTATGCTGAGAGTGCGTTGTCCTAGTGACACGTGCCAAGGGTATTATAAAACATAGCTGCTGTTCTTCTTTCTTCTTTTTTATCCTTCTTCTTCTTCTTCTTCGTCTTCTTCTTCTTCTGAGGCAATACGAAGTGTATTATTCCGAGTAACAATTCAATTGTCTGATCGAAGATGGAGAATAAAATGAAAACAAAAGGATAGAAGAACTTTATTAGGTTTCAAGTTGCATCGAATCTAATCCAATAAGAGATACGCGTTGATCCATTTCACTGATTATATTCTATCGAAAAAGTAATACGAGAGTTTTCAATTGTTATTTGAGTAACGATAAAGATCAATAAATCGAATGATAACAGTTCTCGATTGACAAAACATTTATAAATATACAGGCTTGCAGAAAAGAAATAAAGTGATTAGTTGCTACTACAAAATTCTTCCATTACATTCAGTTAGGCTAGTTAATAGTTAGATCGTTAGAGGGCCGGGGTGGGGGGGAGGGGTAGGGGGGTGAAGGAAAGAAAAACAGATGAAATTTTGAAAATTAATCTCAAAAATGTTTATCCCAATTTAAAGACATTTGACCCACTGAGGGACTTTTGGCCGACCTTGTAAGTACGTATGCCTGTGGTGTACGAGTATACGCGGGGAGAGAGAAGAACGACCAATGGAAGTGGAACGAATGCAAGACAAGTCAGACCTAAAGATTTGGACAAGCCCAAAGTGAGGCATGCAACGAGGAAGAGACACGTAGAGTAGAGCGACACGTGTGCGCGCTGTAGAAGGTCGAATTGATACGATATATATATATACATATATATAAAACTGTCTATCAACACGTTTCAACTTTGACATTAGATTTCGAGGGAATTAAAAAAAAAAAAAAAGAAAGTTGAAATAAAGAAAGTCACAAATAAAAATCATAACACGAGTGCAAATGATAACGAAGTTTAACTTTAAATTTGTTTTCGATCGTATTAACGCCTTGACATTGACGTCACTCATCTGATTAATGAAATCAGAAGATTTAATTAGAGTATTGAACTGTAACAGATCAATAGATACCTAAATTTCATTGAAGATTCCTTCGGTCCCGTTGAAAATAGACTAAAATAGATGACGCCCGATTGACCCCCTTTAATTTGAACTAACTACATCGAAAGATTTGACTAATTGTTAGACATTGAATTATACAAAGTTGAAACTACATTTCTTTAAGGCTTATATTCATGGACATAAGAAGTGAATCTTTTGAAGGATCTTTCAGTGGATCTTTCAGTGGATCTTTCAGGAGATCTTTCAGGAGATCTCTCAGGAGGGAAGGCCACACTCGTTGTGTTTGTTTTTGATAGAGTAGTTGCACTACCAAGGTCTACAAGTTAGAAAGGTACCTTGCAACTCATTCTCGTCCTCGGTGCAAATACGTGGCTTGCCCATTTTTACGGTCAACGTCCGGTCAGTGCGCCATAAGACTTTAGCACTCCTTTTACCAAGCAAGCAACACGCTGCACGTGCATCGGCTTCCATCGTTTTCTTTCTCATTCTCTCCCCCTCCCTCAGCTCTTCCTTTCTCTCTCCCACTCTCTCTCTCTCTCTCTCTCTCTCTCTCTCTGCCATTTCTCAGTCCTTTTCTTTCTTTGATATTTGCATCATGGAGAGAGAAAGATACCTAGAAGCTAACGATAATAGCGTTGATTGCTTGTCACGATACATATACTCGTACGTATCGTACATAGCTGCAAAAAGGCCTACTTATGTGACACGAGTTGAAGTCAATGACCGTCAAACACTTGCAATTAACTATTTACATTTTGCTAATCTATCTGTTTTATTTTCTAATAATCATTCTTTCACTATTTTATATTGAAATATAACTTGATAAATATTTGACAGAATTCTTCAGCAATTTGATCAAATGGCAAGAAGAATACGGACAAATATATTTGATTTGGGTTGGCATGCGAGCTTTTATATTTCTATACAGAGTAGAAACGGTTAAGCCATTACTCGAAAATAGCGATAACATTGATAAAAGTCTCGAATACAGACACCTAATTCCATGGCTTGGTACTGGATTGATCACTAGTAACGGTAAGTGTTTTTTTCCTTTTTTTTTTTTTTAAATCGGCAGTAGTAAAGTTAATCAATTTCAATACAATACAACATCATTTGACTTGCATGATGAGAATTAGAATTTGTCTATTTCTTTATTTTCAAGAGTAATTTGTCAACGATAAAGTAGACAAATCAATAGACAATTGATAAATATTGATTAACAAATTTTTAGGAGAAAAATGGCACAGTCGTAGGAAGTTAATATCATCAACTTTTCACAAACACTCATTGGAAGATTATTTTTCGTGTGCTATGAACGAAGTCAACATTATGATCAATTGTCTTAGAAAAGAAATCGACAAGAGTGTTGATATCGTTCCTTATGCCAAACGTGCTGCACTCGACGTCATTTGTGGTGAGTTACAACTTTGATCATTTGTTTCTTTTTTTTTTTTCTCTCTTTCCATTCTAATCAATCGTAATGATTGTTCTATCGGAATTGGAATATTTCGGTTCCTGTTTCATCATGTATCGTTTTCTTCCTTTCCTTCTCTTTTCTCTCCTTGAATTTTTCTTCCAACGATTTTCATCGTAACTCGATTCCAATTTATTCGACTTTTTCAACTCCATCCTAATTTTGTATCTTTTTTATTTGTCTAAATATTAAATCAACAAGCTTAATGATTTTTTTACCTGAATGACTTTCGGGGTTGTCTCGAGGATGACTTTGATGAACGATCATTGATCATTTGTTTGGAACTTTTTACACGTGCCAAATGCAAAATCCTCGAATTGCATGGTGCATAAGTTAATTTTCTTTTTCTCCCGGATACCTTTTTTGCATTCTTTTTTGGTCGCGATAATTCTAGTATACGTTCGGTCGCTGAATATTCAAATATAATATATATCAAAACAATTTATACAATCGTCTTAAGGGAATCTATTTATTAGTATTTCTCTTTTGATCATTTCTATACTAACGAATTGCAGTTAAAGCAGCTGGTGCAACGTAATAAAGCGATTTAGAGGGTGGCTCGTAAATACTTTTCGGTCTTGAAAGTTCGACAATTCGTGGCGTAGCTTCGGAAATTTTCTTAATGTTTAATCGACACTCGGATACATCGGAAATGTTCAATCGTATCCGTGGTTGAGCTAATCGATTAACGCGATCTGTTATTTCGTACAATAGGGCTGATGTCTTCACCTATTTATTGACAATAAATAATGCAACAAATGACAATGAAATAATAAGAAACTTGATCATATTCATACCTTGCAAGGATCATCTTTATTTGAAACGTTCATTTGTACATTTTCATTGAACATTTTCGACATTTTATTCGAATCAAAATTCATTCCATTTTTCTTCTTCACCGATTGTATTTTCTTATCAATTTGACAAGTTTCATAATTATTCCTCGATCCTTCATATTCCTTTCTTCCTTTCAATTTACTCGACGATAATAATTGTCTTTGAATAAATTCACTCTCAAATTGTCCCAATCGAGAATCCGTTGATTCTAAACTCCAGCATTGCGAATGATTAGTCAAAAAGGTAGCCATATACAACGACAAATTTGGAATGTTAACCTTTTGAGTTAACCGTCAGTAATCAAATTCCAAATTGACGTAATAAAAAAAAAAAAAAAAAAAAAAGAAGAATCTCTAAAAATTGTCTAATGTCATCTATTTAATAATTTTATGATGAAATTGTGCATATTTTTAGACAGTTCCATGGGTTATCGACTTGACGCGCAAACCACTTTATACAATGAATATGTTTTAGCAGTAGACAAGTATGTATAATTATTTGTTGTTGTTGTTTTTGTTTTATGACAATGACAAAATTGAGTAAATTTGAATTTCTCATCTATTCTAGATTGTCTCATATCACGCAGTATAGATTTACAAGTCTTTGGGCATCAAAAGACTTTTTATTCAAATGGAGCAATTTAGGAAAGGAATACGATCGTGCTCTTAGAGTAGTTCATAATTTCGTTGATCAGGTAAACCAACCGATCGATTGTTAATATTATATACAAGGCAAAGAAAATACTATAACTAAATGAAAACAAGAAAATCAATGATATTAATAATTGTTTAGGTGATTGCCGAACGCAAAAGAGAAAGGGGAAACAATGAAAACAATAATTATGACAAACCGACGAAGAGAAATAAACATTTGTTGGATTCGTTATTGGATATATCAAGTAACGGTACGATTTTAACAGACACTGACATACGAGATGAAGTTAACACATTTATGTTCGCTGGACATGATACTACAGCTACCAGTATATCTTGGGTATTATATGCCTTAGGAAGAAATCCTCAATATCAAGTAATTTCCATTTTGTATTCCTTTTTCTTTCAAAAAAAAAAAAAAAAAAAGGTATCTAGGAAT